ATACTGTTTAATACAGTTTTAGCTCCCATCGTGCTAATTTTAGCTTGTAGCTTTTTTTTTTGTTTTGACCTATTAGGTAATAATTTTCTTATCTTTTAGTGACTGTTTTGTAATTTATTTCTTTTAGTGACTGTTTTGAAACTTCAGCTCCTTCCTTCTTGCTAACTTCAGCAGTCATCAGTGTTTTTTGTATCTGTACCTTGTTATTTTACGTTCGGTTTCTCGGTGACGTGTCCGAACGTTCTGATGTTTCAGGCGCCGACGCCGACGAGGCGTCCAGCGGTATCTCCACGCTGGACCGCTCCCTCGCYGCCCGCAGAGGAACACGGAGCAAAATGATGATTCCCATGGACTCCCAGCCGAGCAACACACGTAAGTAACGCGTGTTTGGACCGGCTTGGGTTGGTTTTATGTTTGTTTTAGGCTTGTTCTGATGTTTTTGTAGTGTTTCTAATGTTAGTGAACTTCAGCTGATCAGAACAGAATCCTCAGGTTTTTATCTGCAGACAGAACAGCCAGAGTTCATAACAAACAGTTTATTTCTGCTTGTTTTTTGGCTGTTTTATGATTTCCACCAACAAGCTGTAGTTTCTGTGGAGTATTTGCTCGACGGTTCGTCACAAACTGAGGATCAGCTTCAGACACGACTCAAACTGTGAAGTTCTCCCGGCGTTAACGACCTCACAGATGCTCCTCAGAAACCTTCGGCTGCTCTCTCTTTGTCGTCACGTAGCTTTGTGGAGCGTTTGGCTCATTAGTCGGCTGCAGCGAGCTGAAGAACGAAGTGGGTCGTTTCCTTCAGCCGCTCTGCAAATTACTGAGCTTTAAATGTTTAACTTCAGCCGCCATCTTTCTGCAGCTGAAAGAGAATCAGAAACGACATCCAGCGTTTWAAATGTTTTCAGCAGAGTTCAAACCGTCTGTTCTTGTTCCTCCGTCCTCTGCAGCTCGCAGGACTAATGTCTTTAAATCACTGTTGAAGAACCGTTCCTCCAGTCATAACAGAACTGGTTTGAACAAATCTTAAAGCCACAGRCGTCTGTAAGGATCTTTAACGTTGGTGACGAGCCGTGGTGTTTCTGAGCAGAGAGGCGGGGCTGAGCCCCCGTCAGACCGTCCTCCTGGGAGRAACAGAAGTCCTTCAGATAAAAACCCACAGAGCTCAGCCAGAGAAAATCAGACACTTGAGTTCAGTCTGCAGAGACCATAATTAGCCCTGTTTTCCTGGAACGACTCTGAGGACAGACGGGACAATCACAGGAGCTGAGTGGAGGACGAGGACAGAGTGGTTCAGGGTGGTTGAAGCAGATATAAGGATCAGACGAGTGACTGAAGCTCCGAACACRTCGCTCACCGTCAGGAGAGAAACGCTGCTTTTCTTTAAAAACACTGCTTCATTCAATAAATCAACAAAAACAACATTTTTCATCAAACGTTAACAGAAACATCAGAAACATCAGGACTGAACGTTTCTCTACAGTTGGTCCCTGTCTGAGACTAATCCAACATGGCCGCCTCAGCTGATCAACCAGAACAAACTAAATGTTTGCAGAAAGAAAATAAATTGTATAGGTCTTCTGGACGGGTTCTTCTCTAATGAAACGTTTCGTCTCTCCTCCAAGAGACTTCTTC